TTTATGTGGTACTGAGGAATGGAACCCAAGGCTTTACGCATGCTAGGGAAAGCACTCTACCACTAAGCCACATTCCCAGCCCCTATCTAACTTTATTTATATTTTGCTTGTCCTGGGGCTTGAACTCAGGGCCTGGATGTTGCCCCTGCACTTTTGTGCACAAGGCTAGCTCTCTGCCACTGGAACCACAGCTCTTCTGCTCATTTGTGGTTAATTGGAGAGTCTCATGGGCTAGTTTCAAACTGTAATCATCAGATCTCAGCCTCCAGAGTAGCTAGGATTACAGGTATGAGCTACTGGTGCCCAGCTACAATGTACTTTAGATTTTCTTTTGTTGTTGTTGTTGTTGGTCATGGGCTTTTTTTTTTTTTTGGGTCCGGTCATGGGGCCTGAACTCTGGGCCTGGGCACTGTCCCTCAACTCTTCAGCTCAAGGCTAGTGCTCTACCACTTGAGCCACAGCGCCACTTCCATTTTTTTCTTTTTTGCTTATGTGGTGTTGAGGAATCGAACCCAGGGCCTCAGGCATGCAAGGCAAGCGCTCTACCACTGAGCCACCTTCCCAGCCCCTGGTCATGGGCTTTAACTCTGGGTCTGGGTGCTGTCCCTCAGCTCTTCAGCTCAAGGCTAGCACTCTACCATATGAGTCACAGCGCCACTTCCGGCTTTTTCTGCTTATGTAGTGCTGAGGAATTGAACCCAGGGCCTCATGCATTCAAGGCAAGCACTTGATCACTGAACCATTGTCACAGCCCTAGATACGTACTTTTATGCTTTGTAAAATACATGCATATAAAATGTTATACAATCATTATTGAAAGATATCCTTGGAAGCAGCCTGCAGGGCCAAAACAACGAAGGGCCTCTTTAGGGCTCTCTCAAGGGAATTTGGCTCCCATCTCAGAGTTCCTGACTCAGAGTTTCTGACTCAGGCAGTAGGAATTGCTGGGGCTCCCCCACAATTAAACAAACACTCACTGGGCTCCAACTATGTGCTGTGGGCTCCCTGGGCTACCCCAAGAAGTCTAGCACTACCCCGCCCTCAGGGATATCTCTCCTCCTTGAATCAATAGGCAGGGCCCAGCAGAACTGGAAGGCCCAGCCCTGATGAGTTACTGAGGCCCAGACCACCAGCACCTCACCCCACCCACTGCGCTCAGGGTGACTCACATGGAATACAAGTCTGCTTGAGAACCATTTCTGCCCAGTTGCTGATTCCCATCCCCTGGGAGACTGCCCAAAAGGACATAAATGCCTAAGCCTCTGGCAGCCTTCTGCCCTCTTCCGAAGTCACCAGGAACTTGAGGCCTGTATCTAGACACGTATCCAGGTCATTGACTCTGGTCTGCAGGAAGGCTGGGGGGTAGGGAGCTGGTTGAGCTTCCTGGCAAGGAAAGGGTGCAGACTTTTTTTTTTTTGGTCAGTCTGTGGGGCTTGAACTCTGGGCTTGGGCGCTATCCCTGCGCTTTTCAGCTCAAGGCGAGCACTCTACTGCTTGAGCCACAGTGCCACTTCCAGTTTTCTAGTGGTTTATTGGAGATAAGAGTCTCACAGACTTTCTTGCCCCGGCTGGCTTTGAACCATGATCCTCAGATCTCAGCCTCCTGAGTAACTAGGATTACAAGCATGAACCGGCACCCGGCAGGTGCAGACTTTTAACCATGACT